TTACTTCAAAACAATAATATTAATTGGATATATCAAGGGAATTTTCTCAAAAGGTAAGTTCTTTGAAGCGGGTCAGATGGGGGTTTTGCGATGCATTTAAGCTAGTACATGTACATAACATAACATGAAAAATCAGTTTTAAGTAATATTTTCTAGAACATACCAAATGAATAAAATATTTATCTTCTCAATATTGAATGATGTTCTGATTGAAAAAAAATGTAAAGGATGACATTTATTTCAGTATTTAAAAATTGGAGGAACCCATGCAGGGACGTTTGCACGCTAACATCTTGAATATTTATTTTTGAACTCTACGTGTGGTTTAACTGTACATGTGTATAATTATATAAATATTGCATGTAGTTGAGTGTAACATTGAAAATTTTCACTCCCCAAAAAACCATTGTCGGCGCAGCCGAGGTTGACAATGGTTTTAGACGGGTGACAATTTTCAATGTTACACTCAACTACATGCAATATTTATTATATTATACTGAATGTTTTATACAAATACATAACATGTATAACAGTGAACTTTGCGCGCATAAATTCTGCTGCAGTCACTATTTTTTGGAATATCACCCGTCGTCAAACAGTGTTGATTATTACCTAACCTACTATATAAATTGTAATTAGGTATTTTTAACTGTTTCCTGATTCGTTTTAATGTTTCTGCACGTCATGAAACAGTCAAAACTGTTTACCCGGTCACAGAATGAATTGTTGCATGGCTGAAGTGATCCATTATGACGTCATAATTAAATTCCCGTACTTTACAGCTATAATATTGAATAATGTATTTTCATGGCAATAAATTTGAGATTATCATTTGAAGAGTAATCCTGATACCCATATAAATATATATTCAATTTAATATAATTTCAAAGAAGAGGCCAAGAACACCATTTCTGAGGGTAATTTGGGAAAAAACGTTGGCCCCTTTCACTCACTATAGATCTTAGGCTTAAACGTCCGACTCAGCGTGTTATATTCAACCTTCAAGTCATCATTATGTTGGTTACTAAACTACATCAATTTACTAGTGCATGATACATGAAATAATACAAACTGTTGTTGATGTGTCTATATCATTACTTTAAGAAATTATATACATGTAGTAGGTTAGGTAATAAAACACTTATTTCGTGACAACTCGGGAAAGAGTCAAACTGTTGTCCCTCCATAATGGGGAAGACCTGGGAAACTGTTGCCTTCGGCCTCGGGCAACAGTTTCCCAGGTCTTCCCCATTACCTCGGGACAACGGTTTGACTGTTCCCCTCGTAGTCATGAAATAAGTGTTTACTGTTGCTATGCTGGAGGGCGTGGCTTCATTATTCAGCGGGTAATAGTGTTTTTTAACAAATGTTTCTCGGTGAATCAGATTTAACTAATTTACATGAAAGTTTAATATAATAATATTGAATTACATGTATACCGAATACCGAAAGACAGCTGAAAACATGATAACAATTTATTATAACAATTGTAATAATTTATTTATAGAAATGAATATCGTTATGGAGTATGAATTATAGCGTGTATACTTTAATGTATGATTGTTTTACAAATAGTTTTACTCTCAGAATTTTGAAGGAAAATAATGTTTTCAAAAATTTATTATAAGAGGTAAGGACACATATGAATGTGCAAGTTAAATTATAGATTTGTATTTAAACATATTTTATTGAAACATATAATCAATAGGATTGGACGCAAGTTTTACCAACTTAGAATTGTCCTCTCCAACACAAACAAAATGACATATACATATACACGTGATGTACAACAAACAAACGTACATGTACAATACAAAAAAGTGCAGGGAAATAAGAAAAGGGGGGTGCAAAGAAAGAAAGGAAAGGGGTTGTAATGGATACAGAATAGGTACGCTGGTTATTCATAAAAATCTTTTTGATTTTTTAATATATTTGTGTACGGCTTTAACAATGTTCATATTATTTTGTTGTCCCAAGTTATTATAGATGTAATCACAATTTTGTGAATTACAATGTACATGCATGACAGAACACCAGAAAAGTTAACCAAATGTTGACAAAATATTAACATCATGATAAAGTATTGTGCTCACAATTTACTTTGAAGAAGTTGATGTCAGATTCTATATATTGAAAAAAATACTGTCTGTCTGAAGACAAAATTTCCATTTATTGTCTTGGAATGAAAAAAAATTTAAATCAAAATAATGTATTGATTTATCTTTAGAGAATTGTATTCGGAAATTATTTACAAGAAATTGCTATTTTCAATGATAGACATGCATAATGTGTTTACTAACGCATCACTACTGCATATGTGTAGACATGGCGAGAGAGGATCGGAATTATCAAGTATGTTTGGCCAGCTTTTCCTCTTAAGAAGTTTGTCAGTTCAATTTTAATTAATATTTTAAATATTTATGATAGCATGCGATGTGACCTTCTGTCTTCGTTCCCAACATCATTTTGTTAAATGGCGTTTTGTTTATGACAATTAAAACTAATAGGGAACCGCATGGAATAAATAATTGCATGCCAAAAAAATTAATAATAGTAATACATGTAATAAAGAAAGTGAACATATCAATAGTCTGCATCAGTAATATTATTGTTTCTTCTGCTAACTTGTTAAAACGCAGGTAACAAAATTTTAGCTGGCTAGCTGTCAACACATTATAATTAGTTTCGCACCTTGCATTGGAAAAATTGATCAGTATGTATTGATGTATTAATTAGCAGGAATCACAACTCTGTATAAGTATGTATATATACATGTAATAGATGGGAAAACAGAGATTAAAGTAGGATGCCTGGTTCATTGTACACTGTACATGCTAAATTAAGTTAATTTATCTTGATCCTATTAAATGTAAAGAATGCTACTAAAGTAATACATGGCATTATTTATCGATTATTTCCCTTCGTACACATCGAAATCTTTAAAGTCTTAAAGGTACAGTTCTTTTTCACCTAAATGTTTGTCCAACTTATACGTTAAATTTTAGAATACTCGAATACTTGTATCCAGAAACCCAATGGCCAAAACTACATTTCAAGGGAAAATGTCTCGTAATTTATGGAACTCTCTTCAGAAAAAATTTAAAATGATGCAGACAATTTTTTTACGTTTTTGAAAACGTCGTTGACAACGTACATGTAATGAAATGTGTGGAAATGATGTTGCACAACGTGTTCAGGGTTCTCCATCGTTTCAAATTTAACTGTGGCGCAAGACTTATGCGAAGTATTAATATTCGCTGTCATTTTGCGACCGATTTCGCGAAGGAACCACGAAATAAATGAAAAAAAACACAGCCCCATTAAATCAAAAGTTTAATACACAAATAACATTTATTGTTTGGCAAATTGATTAATAAGTTTGATAATAAAAGCTATTAATCGATATCGATTTAACATAGTGTAAAACAAAAAATAGGATGTTTCTGAAATATACGCATCCTGTGCAAAAGACCCCCCCCCCCCCAAAAAAAATACAATGTTCATTAAAAGACAGAGAAAATTCTGGTAAGACACACAATCACGCTAACATTTACATGCATATATATTTGTAGTTATCGCTGTGAAGACTGAAATATCTTAAAACTTGTGAATTTAAAAATACTTAAACAGTTTAGAGTCATAAAATAATATTTTGGTGGATCTATCGTTAATTTTTCAACATTACAAAATATACATGATTGCGAAACACGTACAATGTTTGACTCGCAGTGCCAATGCAAGTTTAGAGACTTGGTTATCTGAAGAACTATAAAAGCATGAATTAATATTTTTAAAAAATCATTTGCAATCATTGTGAAGTGTGAAAAAATGGCTTCTTTTCATTCAAGTGTCCAGCGAGGTTTAGAAGATAATTTGCTTGTGCAAGCCAAACATTGGGCCCTAATTAGAGTAAATTAACGGTTTAGCATTAGAAACTGAAAAATGGTACATAATTTAGAGGTTCATTTTGTTTATAAATTTATATATTTCTCTTACTGACGACGACGATCTTACTGTGGCGCTAATATTTTAACTGTGGCGGAACTATGGCGCTCATTTTTTAACTGTGGCGCAAAGAAATTTAACTGTGGCGGGGCCGCCACGTTAAACGGTCCATGGAGAACCCTGAGTGTTGTAGTAGGTTTGCGTCATTAAGGTTTTTTTAAGGGGTGGGGGTGGGGGATATGCTTGCAAGTCTACATTTATCATGCTACATGTATATACTATAATTTGTATTAAATGTTCGTGTTATTAATTGTTCAAAAGTTCTCAAAGTTCAGTTATGAATATTCATATGTTACTTTGTTGATCTAGGAACCAATTTTATAATAAAAGCTTAATATATTATCCAAAATTATCCAGTGCCAGAAGGGATAAGAAAAATTCTTCCTAAGTAAATTTTATTACATACAGTCTGTAATACCATTTTAATAGGGGTCCATGTTTTCTAAAGGGGTTTATTAAAGTCCTCTCTCTCTCTCTCTCTCTCTCTCTCTCTCTCTCTCTCGTTACTGTTACATAGAATTTTTTATAACTCCGAAAATCCCAGGGGGTTAGAGGTCTAGACCCCATCCCCAGATCCGTGCATGATACATATTAATATATATATATATTGATTGAGGTAAAACTTAATGCATTCTTACTAATTTTGAAGAGTCGTGTTACTTTGTAAAAGTGTCAGTATCAATTTTCAACCGCCCACCTCACCCCGACCCCCCCCCCCCCCCCCTTCCACAGAACTTTTGTAGAATTTTTTATCATGTGTTTATATATAAATTATAACAACATGAACAAGTTCATTTTCTCTCTTAAGCCTGAAACAAAGCTGACTTTTTATAAATTCATATCAAATTTCTAGTCATAATACATTTTACGAAAAATTATTACAGTGCCTCAACAATATTAATTAAACAGAAAATTCTATGTCAATTTCAATCGGGATCTGGATTCCTAATAGTTTCGATTTACTTCATTGCTCCACGAGATCGTCGTCACGTACACAACGGTCACAGGTGAAAATGTAGGACTGTTTTAATGATTTTATAAGTGAACTACCATACAGGTATGTTTAATTAATATATATGGTACAATTACCATTTGAAAGCGTTTTGTTTCAGTGAAAAAAGTTGGTGTTTATAAGTGAAAAATCTCGAAGCTTCCATCATGATGCTTGGAGTTTACTCTCCAGATAAACACCCGAATCTGTAGTTAAAGTTTTATAGCTAGGTAACTGACCCCTCTGGCAAATTGGCAATTATTTTTACATTAAAAAATCAATGAATTTGATGTGTAAGCTTAAGTTTCAATATGAAAATTAGAGCATCATGAGCGGTTGGATCTCCGAAGTTTTTTGAGATACATCTGTACATTGCAAGTCTTTATCTATTTATAACTGACAGCTGTCACAATAATTTGGGTGGGTATATAAATATTCTAGTGTGTTAAAGTATATGGAATAGCACAGCTCAACAATATAATCAAGATTGAATGGTCATTGAAACTCTAAAAAAAAGCCTGAAATGGAGGCTTATGAAAGACACACGTTAAAATGTACATACATGTAAGTGAGTCTGTTTGATTGTTTATTCAGGAAATGGCATATATAGAACATAAGTTGACACATGAAATCTAGAGAAATTATAAAATACAAGTAAATTACATAGGTTCTTAAAACAATAACATTATAAAAAATATGTCAATTATGAAGGAAAAAAAAATATTGGTATGTTTAAATGAACATAAATATAGCCATGGTGTATAGCCATTTTACCAAGGATGACCCTTATGAATATGTTACATGTATATCTTCCAATTATGATGGCAGCATTGTTGATGCCTGCTATATGTATATTTTATTTTTACTGTGTAATTCAACAAATCTGATTATATCACAGGCAAAATTATATTTTACGATATTGACTTGAGTTACTAAAAATAACTTAGGAAAATCCAAAGATGTGTTTATAATGGTGAAAAGTCTTTAAAAAAAACTTGCAAATTCCTACATAATGAACTTGTTTGTCTCTTGCTTTTCCAAAGAAAATAATATAACAAATGTAGCCCTTTGATTCAGTCAATCCATATAGGTATATCGACTTTGTGCTCAGTTGATAAGCTTTTCTGTGAAGTCGATATATCTATGGATCGACCTCATAAAAGGACTATATTTGTATAATATATCAAGTTATGACTTCTTTAGTCATGTTAGTCATACAGACTTTAGTTTGACATTAATCATATGGACACAATTACATTTTTAAATATTTTACCGGTAATTGAATTCTCTGAAATATTAAAGTTTAATTAATTTATTAGTCATGTAAGTGGCAGATAAACTCTAGGTAAATAAATGCAAGGCAAAATTTATGAAAAGGAATTATTTTGATTTATAAGGAATTTTTTAAGTCATTTGTAAAAATCAAGATATTTTACATCAAATTGGCAGAATATTTAATACATGTTACAGAAATAAAATTAAAAGATGCAAGTACAATGTACTTTAAATTTCATAAAAATTACAATTTATTAACATCAGGGTTGTCCTTAAGACCCGGGGGCTGGGGAATTTCCCCTCCTTTATAAATTACATTATCCCCCAGCTACTCTGGTAATTTCCCCTCAACCACTTGTTAGGGAAGGAACCCGAGACCCCATCTACTTTTTAAATGTCCCCTCCTATTTCAATTCTGATGGGACAACCCTGAACATACAAGTATCTCTCAAATTTTACAATTTTGCAACTCTTATATATTAATTACAGTACCGACCAGACACAACCTAACAGAAAGCGAACCCAAAGCACACCCCGGGTTCGCTCTCTGGGTTCGCTTCGGGTTCACTTGGGGTTCACTATAGCTGACCCAGAGCGAACCCGGAGCGCACCCCGAGCGGACCCAGAGCGAACGCCGAAAGCGAACCCAGAAAGCGAACGCGCGTTCGGTATTGCATAACAGAGCTGTCAATCAGGACTAGCGGTAAGTCGTGTTAACCAATCAGCGCGTCGACCAATCAGCATGTCAGTTTGTCATTCGATGTAAATAAAACATTGTACAAGCAAAGCGTGTTAATGTACAGTGTGAAATTATCATTAACATGATTAAAAAAAAATCATATTTATATTTTAATTATCCAGGTAGCATGTTTTATTTACACAATTATTTTCTTTATTTTTGATTTTTTAAAATCCATTAATTTACATTGCGTAAATTTACCAGACAAAACGTTCTTTAATGTATAAAAGAAAAAAAATTGTTATCACAATTGTTACTAAAAAAATGGTTTTTGATAAATTATAGCATTTCATCATCTCAAGATACTGTACAAGATTGTGTATATGTACGTGCTTTCATTCAATTATTTTATTTTTATAATTCTGATTTACATTTTTTATTTAAATCCAGATCAACATCAAAATTATTGATCTTCTTAATTGAAAAAGAAAATAAGAACAGCATAAATGCACATTTACAGTATGCACAATAGTAAACTACTATAGTATTATTTTGATTTATCTTTCACAAAAGAATAATGTAAAGCTTGATTTAGTTTGTTTGTTTTTTTCTAACTGAAATAAATAAAAAAAAAAAAACGAAGCGCGATTTACATGCACATTATTGAACGAACTAATTATGAGTAGTAAATAAGCAATATAATAAATCGTACAGTATTGTATTCTTTAAAATAGCGTAACTTTTAATGATAAAGCGCATTTAAGATGTTTAACGATTTTTTTTTCTCTGTTGATAGGCCCCGTTAACGGCTAATTATGGTCATGATATTTTAATATCAATACATAAAAAATGTATATTTTTACAAACAAATTAATAATTCCCTATACTTACTGAAATATTTAGTCGGCAAATGCACACGACATGATTGTTGGGGTTACTTTTTTATCCCTGATACTAATCAGTGATTTTTTTAGGGCCGATTTGGGGCCGAAATTCGGCCCCAGTCCCAATTGAAAATATGCCTGTATTTTCCCAAAATGTAGTGCAAGTTTTCCCAAAGAAAAACTTACAAAATATTAAATCAAATTCAGTTTGTTTATTGCATGTTTTTCAGTGAAGTTCAAGCAGGTTTTGTTGTTCAGCCATGTTGGATTTCTTCATAATTAGATAATTCATACCACTATTATTCTTGATGCAAGTAATTAGATAATTCATACCAAGAATAGTCTTGATTTATTATAACAATTGTTTGTTAAAGTAATTCTGGGAGTTTCCCAATTTAGCCTAATTGACGCTGAAATTCCCAATTCTGAGGGCCCCAGCCCCCAGTCCCAAAGTACTGAAAAAAAACACTGTACTTATTATTATTTCTGCAGATGAATGAATTCTAAAAAAAGGCTGAATTTTTGAAATTCATAAATAGAAAGATGGATGTAGATTTCATTCATTTTTTAGATCACTTTTAAAAATCTTTTACCCCCATACTGCATACCATAAAAACCGATTAAATCAAAAAAAAAATCATTAAGTCTTATTTACATGTAGTTTAAAAAATATTTATTTCTATTTTTTTTTTGTTAGTTTCCGAAGTCGATGAATTGCTGCAGTAAATATTTCTAATCTAAAAATCCACTCCTAAATGTTTTAATCTATTTTGTTCAAAAAAGCATGCATTTGCATTAACAATCGTGAATGATCGTTTAATGTGAAAAATCGTGTGCGTGAAGGATCGTTCGTGTAACAGGTTTAATCGTGCGTTAATCGTGCGGAATCCTTTGTGTAACGTGATCGTCCTTTTTTGTTGTCAACTATAATGTTGCAGCAACTGTACATGCACATGTATCGATTGCCACAAAAACAACAATGATCGATTTCACTACTGTATTTGGAATAAACAAGGGGCGGAGCTTACTGGCGGCAAGATTAAAGCGGGGTCCGCTTCACGCATGAGTGCGCAAAGCGAACCCAGAAAGCGAACGCCAGGTTCGCTCTAGCGGACCCAGAGCTGACCCCCAGCGAACACAGAGCGAACCCAAAGCGAACCCAGAGTGCACCCAAAATTTCTGAAAGCGGACCCGTAGCGGACCACAAGCGAACCCAGAAAGCAAACCCGGGGTGCGCTTTGGGTTCACTCTGGTGTTAGGTTGTGTCTGGTCGGTACTGTATATATGAACATTTAGCATTGGGAAAGCAACACTCACTGTCAGTTTTCCGTTTCCTAGTGTATCTTTCAGTAGACAGCTGTCCTCTACTTGTTCATTTGTCATGTTTGTAGTAAAAAATTTAAGAAAGCATATTCAATTTTCCGATCCCTCATTACAGTACATGCATGCAGCATTGCACTGGGTACTTGGTATTAATGTTATCTCGTAAATATTTATATGATAATGAATGTTTACTAGGTGTTGGTGATTACTTTTCAGTTCATCTAATTCAAAAAAATAGTGAATTAAGTTATGAAGTCCTTTAAGATGTTTAAAGAGTTTTGTAATGACACTCTACAAGATTTAAATGGAAGTTCGTGAAATAGCTTGTTTTTGGTGCTAAAAGGGTATTGCAAAATATTTTGATTTTGTTGGAGCAAAGCAGACATTGTGTGTTTTATTTGGATTTCTATGATTTTGTTCTGCCACCCAGGCGAGTTGTGACATTTTCTGCTTTTGAGAGTTGCTGGTAAGTTACATACCATGGTTTAATTGGTTTGATCATTGATTTTTGTGGTGATCAAATTTTCTGGAAAAATATATATATATATATATATATATATATATATATATATATATATATATATATATATATATATATATATATATATATATATATATGGCCAAAAATGCAATTTTTTTTAATATGAAAATTTGTAGGCAGATACCTCATCCTATTCTTAAAGAAGTATTTCGTTTAATTTACTCAGTGTTTCACAGTTTGATTTAATTAAATGAAGAAAAAAACAAAAACTGGTGTTCAGTGAAAACGGTGAAATAAATTTCCTTTCAACTGTGATTATAATCCTGAGAGTTTATGTTATAAACTTAAAAGGAATTGCTTAGTGTCATATATAGATGAAAAATTTGAGTTGATCTTTTGCTCAACAGCTAGTTCATGAACCTGTACCAAGTTGACTGTGGTTTTACATTAAGGCAGATTGTTAGTGATTGTGGTGACAGTTATTTTAGTTTCTAAAATAGATTTTTTCTTATGATCAAGTGGATTTCTGGATCGAGATTTAACATGCAAGGTACTCATAATATGTTATGGGTAGGACTTATTGAACTATGTTTTATTTTTGATTGATACCCATAAAAATTTTCATACATTCACTCTATAAATCCATGCAGTTTTTTAAGTTAATTTTCATTTTTAATCCTGTTTTATAACATGTATACAGAAATATTTTTTTTTTTTTTTTTTTTTTTTTTTTGTTTTGTTTTGTTTTTTTGTTTTTTTTGATGATGATGATGTTCATAAAAGCATTTTGTCTTTTTTTTTTTAATGAAAGTGGTTCATGGAAGTGTATATATATATATATATATATATATATATATATATATATATATATATATATATATATATACATCAATGGTAGGAGAACTTGCATGCGGACTTTAATATCCATTAGGTTTCTCAAGGTAGATTGATTCAGGTAGGAGAGTAATTTCTGGATCATAGATCGGTCAGTGAAGGTGTATGAATACATTAAACCCTTACAAACATTCCAATCATCTTGATAGACCTGCTATTGTTTACAAGCACGTGAATCAATTTGATTTTAAACCACAGGTGAAAAGTGGCTGAGGGATATTATTTGATTCAGGGTATTATTTGTTGTTAAAACTCGGCATTTTGTGTGGCTTCCAGTTAGTTGGTAGATGACGGGATGAGTGGTTCAATTAAATGAGAGGACATCATCTTGGCATATTTCACAGTATGGAAGGTTATTGTGATGAAATGAAAACTGCTTACAGGTATTTATACATGAACATCAAGCAAATATGGCTAAGGGACTAAAGATGTATTGCACTTTTCTCTTAAAATTTTGTATGAAGGAATTGAATGTTGAATAGTTAACTTGTGAAATTCATGATTGTTTAAAGAGAAAGTTCTTAATTTTCTTCATTTTTAGCTTTACTGGTCTAAGATCAAAAAGGCTTACACATTTTTAAGAACACTAAGTTATGTCAATCGTTTACATCTTTGTTTGTTGATACTATTTTCCAGCAATGCCACTCACCCTAAAGTTTTGCTACAATTTAAAAAAAAAAGATACAGGAAATCTGTTTGTGTACTTTGATAAAAAGTTGCTAAAAATAGAAAATTTAAAACAGTGAAATTCTTTCAAAACACAAGTCATCTTACAGTTTTAATCCTCCAATGCAGTATGTCAGTAAAATTGGTTCTACATATCTAGTGTTGAAAAATTTGACTGAAGTTACCATCAATATCCGCTTAAATATTTTTTTTTTCTGTAATTGTGTCATTTGCACTCTGTCATAGCTATGTAATATTCAAATGAAAATGTTCAATTTGACAGAAGTAAGATAATCATTTTATATGACATAAAACAGACAGTAATTAAAATGAAAACCCCACCTTTTCCCCCACCCCCAAAAAGAAGGAAAAATCTACATATTGTAGCCTTGTTTTTGAATCTGGCCATGATTTTCAGAATGTACATTATGATTTGCTAATGGATGATCAGGTGATTTAAGTGGACAAAACATGGAAGGCTTATCAAGCTAAGCGTGTGGTATTAATCCAAAAGTAGACATTATTTTGATATCTTTTTCCCCCCTTTAATCCTGTATGAAAATAGACAATTCTTGACAGGAGAGAGATTTTTAAATTAGCCATTTAAAATCAGCTGATTTTAAAATCTTTTTATTTGAAGAAAATCATGCTTGTTATTTTAGTCTAATATGATACTATCTGTATATAAGGGTACTGTAAATATATTATATTTAGTGTGTACGATATTTGGCAGAAATTGAGTTTTGAACAAGTTAGCATAGATTTGATTTGCAAGACATTTAGCTTTGTACTTGAATTAGTGGAAGTGTCTTTCCACCAAAAGCACTAAAATGAATACACAGCCAAATATAATATGTTTACAGTATTTTATTATCTATAATGCATATTATCATATATATATATATATGTATTTTTATATGTTGTTGAGAGAAGGAGGGGGGAGGTGGGGGGGGGGGACTCAAATCCCTGATAGGAACAACAACTGCAATTTGCAAGAGTAGCAGGAATTAAAGCACAGTTCCCAGGTTTCCACAGTGTAGGGATTGAAATACCCTGTTTACAAGAAATATTTTCATAAAATGCATGCAGTGGAAACAACAAGTGTCATCAATCATGTTGACAAAAAAAAAAACAACTGAATCCATGAAGAAACTCATTCAGACCTAAATGTAAACATTAATTGATACCACATTATACTGAACAACAATTTGGAAGGCGTTTATATTGATTCTGGGTTTAACTGAATGTCATTAACTCTTCATTGAAGTACATTTATGGATTTATACCTGTATTGATTCATCAATTGATTCAGTCAGAATGTTTAATGAACTTTGCTGAAGGCTCAATAACGCATTCAGTAGGACTCATGTAACTTTACTACAAGGTTTTTGCTGTCAAACAATTTTTTCTTCGTCATATTTGTAAGATTTCTTGGGGGGGGGAGGGTTACATTCTGAAAGTGAAAAAAGCAGGTACATCAGGGGTGTGCAATTACAAAAATTAGTTACTAGGGCTAGTGGCAGTAACAAAGTTAATAGCCTGAGGTTGCCAGTCACTAGCGCATTAACTACCGAAAACAATACATGTATAAGTATAACAAAAAGGTTAAAAAAAAAAAACATTAAAGTTGAAATAAATAAAACAAATTATGGTTTGCGCTTTGTTATTGTCAGGTACTTCTCCCTATTTTTATCGACTATAATTGTCACTGAAATGACTGGCGATAGCAACACACAATACATATAGGTTAAAATGAATTAAAGATTATGATTTTACAACAAATTTAATTTGTACATCAATTCAGTCCATGTAAATATAAGTATACTTTCGTTTTAGATTTACTAGCCCAATGGGCTAACGCAGTATAGATTTATCATAGCCCAACCTCTAAAATTGATAGCCCCGGGCATTGGGCAATGGTAATTGCACACCCCTGTACATGTATAGACTTTTTTATAACATGGAGTAAAATTCTTTTTTTAATCAGCCCCATTATGAACATGTATTTATTGCACATGTCTATACATACACTTTATTTTGAGTATACAAGCTAATTTTGTGGTTATATATGTTTACATAATTTATATGTATATATTAAGATGAAAAACTACATGTATAAATGAAGCTCACCACAGTTATACATTCATTGCATAAAGATGAGTATTAATATTGAATTTCATTAAAATTTAATTAAATTAATATAAATTAAAACTTCAATCTTCTTACGATAATTGATTTCATTTAAATATGCTAAAAATTTCAGGACACACAAATCAATTTTTTTTTTTTCTAGATCTACACCTGAACTTTGACCAACGATGTTTACTGTATAATACAAGTATCAATATCTCATTTTGCATGTGACTCCTATAAATCACATGCACTTTGAATTGTTGATACATGTTGCTTTAATTGTTTTTTATAAAAATTGTTTATCCAACTTTGTCTTAATTCTTATACGGAAGAGTAAAAGAAATAAATGCCTATAAATCATATCTGAAAGATAAAAAGTCCTTTGATGCATGCAAATGAGTTTTTGTTTTTGAAAGCTTCTTGATATTAAGTAACTGAAGAATGATTGTGTTCAAAGTACAGAGGGTCCTTTTTTTTTCCTCTGAACATAAGTACATAGACACACTGTCTGTTTGATTGAACTTTGAGAAAGATGCGTTACAACTAGTAAACACTTCTTGTTTTCAACTCATCATTTAGGCGATAAATATGATGTAGATAAATAGGTGATAAGTGTACTTTAAAACCTAATGTTTTCTACTTTATCAGATCATCTATGTTGTAAATTTGGTCATTATCAACATTTCCTTCATTCGTACCAGATAGTTAATTGTTTCCTTTTTTCATGTCTTTTTTCAGTTGTTTGCACACACACTGAGTTGCAGTAAATAGCTTGGCATCATGGGAAGCTTCGCTGGTCATGCTCTTCCTGGGTCTTTCTTCATTATCATGTCCCTTTGGTGGATCATCTGTATTTTCAATCGGTACTTCAAGTCGCTGAAACGAAACACCCGATTCAAATCATCCGTAATTTTTCCATTCCTTTGCTGTCCAGGAAGACTTAAAGAATGGCCCTTGGAAGCCATGCTAAAACTTCTCATGGTGTCTGTCGGATTTTCACTGGAAATTTACACCGGCACAAGTGATGGAAAATTCACGGCCCTTGGAAATGGACAGCATGCCACTATGTTTTTCTTTTTTGGTATCACCGCCGTAATAGACTTACTTTTATTTTACGAAGTGCCATTGCCTAAGGATTTAGACTATGTTTCAAATATCATTGCCATAGGAATTGAAGGACTTTTGTTCAAATTTCATCTCCATGGGCGATCGCACTTAGATGTACTGCTGCATACACTACTTATTTACACCATTGCCTTGAATACAGTAGGAATAATCTTAGAAATGAAGTATCGTAACAATGTTCTGTGTGCTCTTTCCCGGTGCTATGGGTTTTTACTCCAAGGAACATGGTTCTGGCAAGTTGGATTCATCCTCTACAACCCAAATCCTAACCATATTCCCTGGAAACCGGATGACCACGATGATTTAATGATTGCAACTATGTTCTATGCCTGGCATGTTGCTGCAGATTTCCTTCTAATTCTGTGCATTGGTGGGGTGATAGCCTTTATTCATCGTCGATGTGGAGGATACGGTGAAAAAGATGAATTTGCCATGAAAAGACTGATCCATACAGGATCCAATGGCCAAACCTTGATCTCAATGCATGAGGATAGTGACAGTGATATTGAAATCCGTAAACCTGTGTCCAAATAATCCAGGTCTGTTATCCAGGTAATCCAGGCCATTGTATGCAAATGATTGATGCTCTACTCCTTTCAGCCATAAAATTTTGGACAGATGTAAAAGTTAGAACACATCAATTAAGTAATGCCTATGGTATTTAACCTACAGTGTATTTTCATATCCATATACATGCATGTATTCATTGGTATTATGCGTATTATGCTGTAATAACCTTATAGTTTCATTTCATGTTTTCATTGACTTTGCTCCAAGTTTCATAGATCAGCATTGTTGCTTGCATAGTGTATTGATTTATTATGCCTTAAATGTGCAACATTATATCTCTAGAAATCCTATTTTCCAGAATTTTCTATTTTGGAATGATGTAAGGACCTATTTTCTGACCAACAATGTCAAGCTTTATAATGTCATAAAACATGGCAAAATTGACAAATAATTTGCAGTTTTTTGCCCCCTTAAGACACAAGCTCTATAAAAATAAATTTCTTTTCACTTTGGGTACAAAGATATTTTCACAAAACCAAAGATATTTTTATGCATTTGATCCATGGATGCTTTTGAAATTAACTAACCAAAGTCTACATTAATATCTTTTATATGCATATCACATGTACCTTGCATATACACTGTATGTATATTTTTAGTGTAATTAATCAATTAAAATTTCAATTTTACTTTCATCCTATTTAATTCCCTTTACTCTACCTGCATAAAGCTTTTTTTTTCTTGAACTTTTTCACTTTTAAACATTTATAAAGTTGGAATTTCAAACCGCATGGGTTTCAATTTCCCATATAAGAAAAAGATTAAGGAGAAATTGATGACATTTATATTCATTAACAGAAAAGCAAGTTAAGTAGCATTTATACTATATTCATTACCTCAAAGGGCTTTTCACTATACTGAAATAATGTTTTCTCTTCAGATCAATTGAACCAGAAATGATTTTAGAGAAAACATTGAAATGTTAATTAAATATTTTTGCCTGAAAGCATTTTTTCTATTATTTAGAGCTTATTGATTTTCCCAGTTAGTTATCAACAAGCACTGTCAGGCAGAGGCTGTTACATCATGTTGTTTTTAGCCTGAATTGTCAATTTAATTTCAAACAGATTCAATTTGAAGTTGCTGAAAAGCAAGCATTTCATAACAGTAGACAATTTACCTGTGGTAGAAGAGTACAATCTCCCAACTATTTTTTGATCAGCTTAGGAAATTTTAAAACTGCCATTGTATAATTCAAGCTCCCAACTTCTGATACAAAATAAAGGGAACTTCTGATACAAAATAAAGGGAATTGTAATGAAATGATAACTGTTAAAGAAAGTAGGTGGATGTCTTTCAGAATTTTCAAATGAAATACATGTAATTCCTGAATCAAACACGTTTTTTGTTGAAGGGCAATTATTTATGTAAACAAAGCAATGTTTTCATGGTTGTGTTGTTTTTTTTCTCCTTTGCCAATATCATCGTGAGGTCATACATGGTGATAAATAGGTTCAAACATTAATCAACAATGTTCAGGGATATGGAGTTGTGGATGTTAAAAAAAAAAGTTTTGTATTTTTGCATGCACATATCATATTTTTTAAACCATGCAGATAATACTTTTATATAAGATTTGAAATATATTTGTGTCCTTAGTAGATTGCTCTATAGATTATAAAATAGTGTACCTCAAAACATGAGAGACCTAAAAAACCTACTTTTAATTTTTTTTTTTTTCTACTATCCATTTAAACTGCCCCCCCCCCCCCAAAAAAAAATGTGTGTTAAAATGTGATAAACAAGTGCCCCCCCCCCCCCCCACCCCCACACACAGAGTTTTCCAATACCTTATAGGGTTTAATATCCCTTGCATGCAAGTCCAGTAAAAGGACCCTGCCCAATATTAAAAATTGACCCTTTTTACCAAAATTTAGGTAAAAATTCCAAAATGACAAGAAGATTAAAAAAAAAAATTGAATTCTGAGATTATATTAAGATGTGCAAGAGGATAAGCTACAATATATATGTCTTTATGTTACATAATATTTCATCAATATTTCTTACTTTTGTTACTTATTTTTCAATTTTAAACTCCCAATTGAATGGGTACAGGACCCTGTACCATAAAAGGCTCAATTTTAGCCCTCCCTTATATCTTCCAAACTAAAATTTTGTTTTATACATGTATATTTATGTATATTTACCCTTTAGCATAATAGCTTAATTTCATTAAAAAAAAAAATCAAAACCAAACATTTATTTTATGTGTAAATTATTTATATGTATATGGTAAGAGTTAATGTATACCTTTTGAATTTTTGTGTATTTTTTTTTTAATTTATAACTTTCCTTTTTTCGTGGTGTAATATCATTTAATATTTATTTTCTTTTTGATGTTAGTGAATCCAACTGTTCAATAGTTAGAAGAATTTTATGTAGTTTTTGTTTAATAATACTTTGTTGTTTTGAATATATTTTATTGAAATAATCAACAGGATCGGAAACAAGTTCTGACAACTTTTATGAGTTCCTCTCCTTACAAATAACACATAGTATTTACTTTGATTAAATGTACTCTGTTTGTGTATAGATAAGTACATGTTTTACATATATTAAGGATATATATATATATATATATATATATATATATATATATATATATATATATATATATATATATATATATATATATATATATATATATATATTGAAAATTAGAGTATATGTGTATGTAAAATCATAAGCACATTTTTAGCATGCATCTGCAGAATAAAGAAATTAAAATTTCAGAAATTTGTAAAATGTTACAGATATCAGGATTTTTTTTATGATTTTTATTCATTATACATGTACAGTGTGTAGAGTTCATAATTTACCTGGTTTTATAAACCAAATAAAACAGTCACATCAGGAGTAACCGGTATGTAGATGTGTATAAATATGAGAAGATTAAGATCGGTAGTTATATTTTTATTGAAAAAAAATCAGTACCATTGTAATTGTATTTACTTTATTATTTCTGGATTATAAAAAAACAATTTCAGCTGTCAGAATTTCTGTCAGTATATATATTTGTTTAATCATTTAGACTTTATATATTTAATTACTTATCTAATCCTCTTAGGGAGGATATAAAGTCACAAGTATCAAGAACGCTGTTATTTTACAATTGTTTATTTCAAAGCATGCGTGATCACACAGCTTCATATTGCATAATTATTTTGTTTCTAATTTTATGATGTATGTTTGGCATGAATCAAGGTTACTCGCTGTCCCTAGTTGCTTTCATGCTAATAACACAATCCAATTCCTTTAGTCCCTAATAATTTCTCAGGATTATCATCTTTTTTTTTTCACATTAGCAAGTTAATGTATTGAATTAAACTTTTTATGTTAGGTTAACATGCTACTTCATATTATACAAAGAGCATTTAGTTTATTTTTAAGAAGAGAGGAGTGTTTAAAATGATTATTCATAGAGCTTTGTTTAGTGGATATAATATTCAATATTATGTTTTCACAATTATTATGAACATGTAGGAAGTATTTGAATTAAACAATTACATAAATGCATATCTATGTACTGATTGAGGGATAAGATTTGATGTCATTTGACATGTCCATTAACAAACATAAAATGTTTTACAAAGTGCTATATTGTTCTGGAAAAACAAAACGAAACCATTAATTGATCTCTTTGTCTTAACAACATGACAGGAAATGCAGAGTTTAGATATTCTGTTGTACAGAGCTGTTTAACTATTAAATACATGTAATAAAAGTTAAAACCTCTCCATTTGGTAACGAACACAAGGATTTGCTGTAATTATTTTGGCATATGCAGATGCTCAGGCATGATATTTTGGCAGTGTTTTCTAATCCTATGTGGAAGAGTTGGATACAATGTATTTACTTTTTACCTAACAGCATGAATAGTATAGAATGCAAATATTAGTAAAGGATAATTTCTATGTATAATGTTACATGTATCAGAATTGTAAAATAGAAAGAAGTCATTAAGATAGATCGAAAGAAAAGAATTCATTGAAATTTTCATGAAGAACAAGTCTTGTTTTGTTACTTAGTTACAAAAATGTTACAAAAATGTTACTGTTACAATAGAATGAAATGGTTACATGTTCAAAAGTTTTGTGTGAATGTTCTGATATAATATTTGTTGTATGCTGTAGAAGGATATTTAGAACCATGATATGTTCAAATAATTTCTTTATTGTATTCTTTTACCAAGATTTGAATGTTCTATTTGGATTATGTTGAAATTCCCTGTCTCTGTTAGCAGTTATTCTTGTTTATGCAGTTTGAATTAAAAAAAATTTAAACATGTTTAGAAAGGCCTTTCAATTACTTTTCATTGATAAATTGATCAGATATTGAATTAATGACTTTAGTGAGTATGTTCATTGCTTAATTAATCGAATACAGATTAGAAAAAGCAGTTTCCGTAGAATAACAAAGAACATGGATGAATATTGAAATTAAGAAAGAATTTGGGAGATAAAGATGTATTAAATGCCTGCATTTTAGATACTATAAAAGTCAAAAGGGTTTTAAACTTATTTTTAGCTCACCTTTGATAAAGTTGGTGGAGTTTAAGCTAAACCCTCAACGTTGGCATCCCAGGTCAAAAATTTTGGAGCAGAATTATTTCCAATAACTAAATGCTCTATATTGATAAGAGTTGCATGGACGGTGCATCAAATAGTACCTTTCATTGTACTAGCCAAGTTACAGAAGCTTCATTTTTAGCCAATATTTGCAAGATGAATGCCCAGGTTAATGTGTTCAGAGCAGGTTTAAGAGCAGGGTATACATGTAGGAGCAGATCTCATTTCAAAGTTACCAAAAACCGTTTATAACTATGGTGACTAAACTTGCATGGGTGATGCAGATAGGGATATACAATACCAGACTTATTTGAACGCTGAATCTGATCTACATTTTCCGAGAGAATGAAGAGGTTAAAGTTTTTTGGAGCAGATCCGTTCCCAAGTAACTATAAATCTTACCCAGACCAAATTTGCATACATGTTGCACCTTGAGATGATGCACACTTCCATACACTAGTTTGGTGTGAAACTTTAAAATTTGCCTTATTTATAGTTTATATTTATCGAGGTGATCTTTGGAATTTTGATTACTTGATGGTAAATATCTTTCTATGTAAAATGCAACAGCAAATAGTCTTTTCTACATTAGCAATTTGTGCGGGGATTGAACCCACACGATGAATTCATAACAATTTAACAAGAATAAACAAGATGTGTGTTTGTGAAACATTGATACCTTCTTGTGGCAACTCAAGGCCAAGGATAAAGTTTTTCAAATGTAGGTCAAACTCCAAGGTCAAGAGTTCAAAAATGTTGGTACCCAAAGAAAGGACTTGTCACAAAGAAAACACCTGTGAAATATGAAAGCCTTAGCACCAGCCATTCAGAAAATATGACCAAGGTTATTTTTTTAAAGAATGTCATACTTCAAGGTCATGAGGCCAAAAATATTGGAACCAGGCCAAAAATATTAATACTAAATGAAGGTCTTGTCACAAGGACTATACAATGTATGTTTAAGTGAAATAATCTCTAGCACGAACCGTTCAGAAGCTATGGCCAAGGTTACAGTTTTTCAAAAGTAGGCCAAACTCAAAGGTGAAGGTAAAAATGTTGATACCGAAGGAAAGATTTGGTCACAAGGAATATACATGTGAAATATAAAAGCCCTAGCACCAACCGTTCAAAAGTAATGGCGAAGGTTAAAATTTAAAACAAGTAGGTCAAACTCCAAGGTCAAGCTCAAATACCAAAAGAAAGGTCTTGTCACAAGAAATACACATGTGAAATACGAAAGCCCTTGCAGCAACCATTAAATCTGAATTACATGGAGTACCCCCTCCCCAGAATCACAGTCATTTACACTTTCAGAGAAAAAGCACCGACAAACTTTTTTTTATTAATTACTGCCTACGATAATTAATCTACACAACCTACATGGCATGCCTGTCTTTATTTTTTTTTATCTCTGTAAAAAGCGTCAAAACTTCTACTTGAATTGGTAGCACTAGTCAAGGACAGATTACAGTTGAATCTCGTTATCTCGAACACTGATATCTCGAATACCAAGTGATTTGGAGGTCCCAAACACTTATTCTTTAAGTATTTTACCCCGAATATCTCGAATCCTCGGAAATCTCGAAGTTTTTTCTCGCTCCCATCGAGTTCGAGATAACAAGGTTTGACTGTATTGACTTTCTTGCCAGTCGACAGATTATTTATTCTCAACATTTCCGAGGATAGATTATTTATTTCCAAAATCTGCCCCCCCCCCTTTTAGAACAAAATGTTCGTCCTCTTAATACTAGCTAGTATACTGAGACCCAAAAGTAACCAATATTTGTTTTCATCAAACATGTACATATTTCATATTTTCATGTGCATTAATTTTGTATGTCATGTTCTGTATAAAAATTAAAGATGTATTTCATATTTTAACACTTTATCATATAATTAGTAATTTTTATATATACATGTACAAGTATGTAAATGTGCCCGGGTTTAATATACATTGACAAATACATTTGACATTAATTTGAATAAGACTGTCTATCTTAAACTTAATTGATTTTGGATTTTACATGTATATGAATACCACTGTGGTACTTTTTTTTTATTTTTCAACACAAACAATAAAAAACAAAAATGATCCGGAGAAACATAAATTTACTGAATAATGAAAATTTCGTAATATCTTATTTCCAAGGACGCATTTCAAAATGCAGAAAACTTGTTCGTCCCTAATATTATCGTGTTTACCTGTTATATGCAGGGAAAACGCCAGCTGATTGCAGGGAATTTGCCGTAAGATAAGGCTTTTTATGACACAACGGTAAATAAACTCAAGAGCCAGCTCTCCATTATCATTTCATGAAACGCCTTGATTAAACTGAGCGGTCACGTTGATTGTTCTTTAATAATCTTAGAACCGGAAAAATCTCCATGTTTTATTGACGGTGTGGGTATGAAGTTCCGATTGGCGGTAGATAAAAACTCGTGCTACCCAATCGAAACGAATTGCGTATATGAGATCGTGGATGCATGGTTTATCTCGTCTTCTCATCTCGCTTTGATCCGTTACTTTCGTATGTATTAAATCTAGCTGCAAAAAGTAATTTTTTGAGTTTTATGAACCAATTCATTTCACTGGCGGATCTAAAAATTGTGGAAGGTGGGAATGGGAAAAAGCAGGCGAACAGAGACGAAAATATTAGATCAAAGCCATTAAACTCCCACTTTAACGGTAACAATGAGTTAATATTGCAGAACAAGCAATCTGTGAATAAAATCTGAACAAATTAGCAAGTAATTTCAATGATTTGCAACAGGTGTGCAACGTGCTCAGGAGAAAAAATGAGTGGTCTATTTGATGGACCTCTAAATTTGTCCCTTATTTCGCGCACCTGTTATTGAAAAATCAAATCTTTTATGTAATGAGTGACTTTAGGGACGATGCCAATTATGCATATAGGCGACTGCAAATATTCAAGTTCTTTCATCATAATGGAAAGATACATCTCTGTCTCTCTCTCTCTCTCTCAATTCAGGTGCATAATACTGTTATGTATTGCAAAACACCCTAGTGTAATTTACCTGTCTGGATATTGACTTTTATTATTGCACTAGTCTTGTCTGTTTCAATCTCAGTGATTGCATTTTTCTCATACCGGAAATATGACACAGTAGGAACACCGGAAAGACATTACGATCCTAAATAGATAAACTCTTAATGGTAAAAAAGAGAGAAAATTTTAGTGAAATAGGACGCTGTTTTCATTTTATCTGTAGATATCTTTGATTTTAAATTCGGTTTTTCTCCATATTATATTGAAATGTATTGAAATTGAAATCATTAATTTCAAGAAAAAGGCTTATATATTACGAATTTAAATGATTTTTTCCCCAATAGCAATATGTTGACAATTGACAGTGTTAATGAAAGGGTGAAACGCCGACAGAAAAAAAAAAATCAATCGTCTTGTGTTATATTACAAATTGTACCTGGTCACCTCTTAATGTGACAAAATGGACTAAATCTTCTTTTACAGGCACCAATATCGGCACATCGATTTACATTTAAAACGCCAGATTTACACTTATCGCAAATAGACATCATTCATCGAATAGAAACCGGAATAGACAGAAATCTTTCAATTATTTCTCGATCGATATTCGTTCAATATATCGTAATTAGTGAATGAAAATGACAGGGTAGTTGATCGATACAATGTAATACTAGTATAACTGGCACACGTGCATATAATGCGTAATTGAGAAATTTTGAGGTTATCGATTTGTAAAGCAAAAAAAAATTATTTGTTCGTGACATCGGAATATTCACACTTTATTTTTTTTCTGATAAAAGCATTTTATCTCAGAATGCCATTTACATAACCAATTACATTAGACAAAAAGCCCCTTCCCCATTTTTATTTTTGCAACCCTTTAAAGAATTACTAAGTATGTAGTTTACGAAATTCATACATGTATTCTGTATATCTCTGAATATATATATATATATATATATATATATATATATATATATATATATATATATATATATATATATATATATATATATATATATATATATATATATATATATATATATATATATATATATGGGGGGGGGGTGTGCCCCTCCCATCTGCAAACTTACAGGTCGAAAATCTACCTCACTTTCAAATTAATCCCCGATTATTGCAGTAAAATGAATTTAAAGTGATGTAGGGTATACAGCAAAGCACACATATATATTGAGATGAAATCGATAACAATAATGAATTAAACATGTTTGATTTTAATCCAATGAATGCATTACACAATAATCAAGTACATTGATCAATCTCGGTTTATGTGTACCCATTTACTTATTAAATTCGTGATTTGCCTCTTCCCTGGTGGGAGATTTCTTGGTCTGATACACAGAATATTCAGATTGTATTTCCGATAATTTATCTATTAAAATAATTCCTTGTTTACAATCTTCAGTAAATTAACATTTCTTAAGGTATGAAGCGTAACTATGGGTTCAGTTTTTTTCTCTTAAAAATTCCTAAATTCCGGCAAATATGCCTCTCTGATCAACAGAACTTGTGCATCTTTAAGAGCTTCACAGTTTGATTGAGGGGGAAAAGTCAAATATTTATAAACATAAATTACTTTTTTTTAAAATTATCTTTATCTAAAATTTAGTAGCTGCGAAATAATGAAAGGGATTAAAATAATAAAAGAATAAAGATCAAGAAATTCTATTGGATCTAGAGTGTACAAAAGTGACCAGCTTCGCATTCCAGCTTTTCTCGTTTTAGATTTTGACTCTCGTATATGCATATTATTATATATATGTTATTTTTTCGTCCAATTTCGTAAATGTATCTCATACATATATCCAGATTACAAGCACCAAAGCTTTTCCCCTTGATGGAAACAGTCTTTGGGAAGCGATTTTTTATTCCTCACAATGTAAACAAAAATTGGTTCACTGTCAGTACATACGAAACTATGGTTTCATGTTTTCGCTAAACATGCACCATTTGTTGTGGTTGAGCCAGATGTTATGTTGTGAATTTTGAATTTACCGGCTGGCATTAAATACAAAATTTACATCACGACAAAGTAATTTTCTATCTACTGCCATCCGGTAAAATTCGAAGTCAACATGACACAGACTTCGAATTTAAGTGATCAAGAAACCACAAGTATCACCAGTGATAGAACAGGACAAGGTACATTTCATGAATTTACATGTACATTTGATCCCCATGAAGTAAAGTGGCTCACCCCCACCCCTCCTTGGAATTTGTGGAGTTATTAATTATAAATATACACAGTAAACTAACTAAAATGACCTTGAATCCCTCTAGGAAACTTCGACTCTTCTAAATATGTACATATGGAGCTCAAGAAGTGAAAGAAAGCGGTCACCCCAACCCACCAACCCAAAATAAAGTTTTTCACGTTTGAATTGCGAAAGAATTTTTTTTACTGTTGTGGAACTCCCCTCTCCCCCTCCCCAGGAAAAAATCCTGGATCCGCGCATGTCCATACAGTATGAAAACGATTCAACAACGTTAATTCATAAAATATATTTTAATACAAATTAATCATTCTGAAAAGAAGCTTGAATCTGTGCAATAACATTGTCAATCTCCTCAGATACATAAGCATCGAATTCCTCCTCACGAAGACCGGTGTCCACGTCTGTACCCAAATCCTCTGGGTTAATGATATACCGCCTTTTAGGCTTGTCTTCTGAAATGTTAAACAAGGACATTTGAATCCTGTTGTAAAAGCATCAATGTACATGTACTTATATATATCACTATTCAGACTCGTAGGAAGCAATTTCAAGGGGGAGGGGGGCGGCACACCCGAACAAAAACTGGAAATTTCCTGACAAGCATAAAAGAAAAAAATATCTTTAGAAGGTATTAATGAGGCAGTACATTTGGAAATTATTTAAGTTGAAATTGTAAAGTATCTATTGATAAAATTATTGGAATGGCACCCCCCTCACCCCCCACCCCACCCCCATCCCCCGGTGACAGGCACCCGGTACCTATAGGCCTGCTCTTTTACTTCATGCTTTTGATTTAAGGAAAAAGGATGTATAACATCTATTTGTTTCTACTATCTGCCGCTAACCTTTCTCTTCCTTCATCCATTTTTGTATCTCCATGAATCCCATCACCACCCAGGACCACCCGGGAAACATCGTTGACTGCTACAAAAAATATAATGATAATCATGAACAATTAAAATAATAAGGCGCATGCTAAGTCTTGGTAACTATTTGTTATTTAAGTAATTGCAAGAATATCTAAAGTATAGTATATCATATGGTACATTGTGTATATATATAGAATCGAACCAAGACTCATAGATTATTTTTTTCATTCATTGCGGTTATAAAACTTAATAACTTTCACTTACCTTATGCGTTTGAAAAATACACAACGTTCGATAGAACAAGGTACATGTAAATATGAAGTTAAGACAAAAATCGAGAGATTTTTGCAATAAGTTTACACGAAATGCTCAAGAGATATCTCTTACAGCTGTTTGTTTGTAGATACAGTATACCCACAATAGATTATGACGTTCTAAGATTTATGACGTCACAATACAGTTTGAAGACGAGGTTAACAAAAGCTCCGCCTCATTCCACAAAGGGTATGGAGTATTTTCATGTATGCAGTGTCGATTGTTTAAAAAAAAAGGGGGGGTGAAAAACAGTTACTGTTCTTTTTGTCATAAAATCTTTCATATTTCTTTAATGAATTAGAAGGCGAGCGAGAAAGGCAATTGTTACACATATATATAAAAATATGCATTACACAAATTACTTATAAAACCCATTTTTACTTACTTGCAGCTCTCTTTTGAACTGCAGGGCAATTGAAGTTCATGGACTTAGGTCCCCTGAGAAATTGAGGATAGAGAAAAGTTTGCAAAAAAAAACGGAAAAAAAAACATTGCATGATATATCAATATGAATACTTCTTATGTTTGCCACAGCGGTTTTTCCGATACGTACTTGATATAAGGGTTCAACTTTTTCGAAGGGAGGTGGAGAGGGGTGCGAGATCATTTTTTATTAATCAATATAATTACTAAATAAATTAGAGGGATTGGGGGAAGGGAGCTCTTCTTGCTAGATTCGTCCTCGGACTTAATTAGTGAGATAACTTCTATCAAATCATGGGCAATTGAAAATGTAAACTTAATTACAAGTAGATTTTGTTATATTAAACCATTTAATTCAAGGCAAAGGCTACACAAAAAATCATGTTTTAGAAATCTGTAAAACAATTTGTGCTTGCTTATTTATTGCGAAAACACATATTTGCTACAGGTATTTCTCTATCTGATTTATTTCAAGCATTTCTTTTGTTACGACTTCATGGTTTAGCATAACATCACAAGGAACTTATGTAGTCTAGTACATGTATATGCCCTATGTCTTTGTACATTGTATATAATGTACATGTACATGTATTGTACATGTATATTTTACTCCTTCAGGAAAAGAAACATTGATCCAAAAGTTCGTGGAATTTCTTTAATATGTATCTCTTTTTATTTCTTAATGGAAGTATTAATTGAATATTTATTGGTGAAAATATGTAAGCTTGTAACATTTTCTTAATAAAACATATTTCATATTGTAAATTTCGAATCATGCAAATTTATGAACAAGTTTGAAAGTTCATACAAAAACATGTCTCAAAGATGTCAGAGCTTAGATGCTGTGATGCATTTATGCAAAAGAAAAACTCTATCTTAAATGAATGAGGGATTCAAAAAAATTGTTGCCTATATACGAATATAAGAATGGCTAATATATCCAGACAACGGACAACATACAATGTAATTGTCACATTGAGCGATTTACAAAAAAAAAAATTAAGTTGCTTTTGAATTTTGTCTTGTTATTGTAGAATTTAGTTCTGTCATATTTATTTACATATAGAACTAACGGTATTTATTCCGGGGGCACGCTGTCTGTGTTTGCTCTATCTGTAAACCCGGGGATAGCTGTCTCAGATTCCACCCTAGCAGTAACAGCGATCCTAGTGGACACAGCGATCCCAATGGACACAGCAATCCCAGTGGACTCAGCGATCCCAGTGAACTCAGCGATCCCATGGACACAGCAATCCCAGTGGATTCAGCGAACCCAGTGGACACAGCGGTCACGGCGAATTCAGCAATCCCTGTGGACATAGCGATCCCAGCAGACACAGCGATCCCAGCGGATTCAGCAGTCCCAGTGGACATAGCGATCCCAGAGGACACAGCGATCCCTGTGGACACAGCGACCCAAGTGAAACTCTCTCTGATGGTGAAGGAAATAATGGCCGAAAAAATTCACATTTACACAAATGAATTATTGTAGAATGCTTACAAAACTACAATTGAGTTTGTAGAAAGGAGTTGAATTTTAAGTCTTTTTGCATTATGATATTATTTTTGTTATACCTGGTTAATTAAGTAAAAATGAATATACTCCGTAATTAACTACACTGTAAGAAAATAAAAATAACATGTATTTAAGAAACTGTAGTCCCGAAAAACAAAAGAAAGAAAGAAACTGACAATTTTGGCGTTCCAGTCAGGTACTAATCAAAGGGTTTTCTCCGTGTGGTAATTTTTATCATTATACCTCTACTGATTTTCCCTATATGAAATTCGATTTTTAGATGTGAATAATTTCCTGCACATCGCTATGAATGGACTAATCCCCGTTTTGCCGTGCGATAGCCAAGTGAGCTAATCCCTGCTTCGAAAGCTAAATCCCGGTTATCTGTAATCCTCTAGGTTTTACTTTTGTATCGATACAATAAAACAGTTATCACTGGAGGATAAGCAAAATTCTGATTTTGACATCGCATCTTTTTATGACCGCTCGTTAGATAATGAAAGGCATGCGCAGATCCAAGAATTTTTTTCTAGATGGTCCACCCAACCGCAAGCCGCTTCCCTTCACTTTATAAACTTCCAAATTTTGACTCTCTTTATCAACTTACAAGGGGGGGGGGGGGGTTCCAAGATAATTTTTAGTTATTTTACTATATAGATTTAATAACTCCGAAATATCTGAGATCCGCGCTTGCAAAAACATGTTTCAATTCACTGCTATTGATAAAGTCTGCTTCTCAGTTGAGCCTAAAGTAATCTTAGGCGGATTAAGCAGGGCTGGTTTCAAATATCTTAAGTTATCCTTACAAGCAAAAGTTAGGGAGAGGGACCCCTGATTTGCGAGGGGGGGGGGGAGCTGCGGAGTTTGATATGATATATATGAGACATTGTTTTCTGAAAAGGCAATGCTTTAAGCACATATTAGAGGATGACCAATTTTTCTTTCTCATACATATTTTCTCATCTAACTTTTTTGGCGAACCCTTCCTCATAAACGTCAATGATTTTATATGGTAAATGTTAAGAGGTGAATCGATGTCTATACCCTATTTATTCGTCGTCTTGTTTAGATAAACAACGTGCTCTTGAATATTCCCTGGTTGATAAAATGTGCTCCTCTTTAGACTCAGTCAGATTAGTGGAAAGTGTCCGTGAAATTTTTAACCGTAAGGGGAAAAACAAATATTCACAAGAAAACTCAAAGAATTGTGGTCATCGCTTTCGCTGTCTTAGTGGATAGGATATCATTATTTATGGCATATTTTAACTGTCTTGTTTGTGTGTCCTGTCTTGTCAGTGAATCATACAAAAAGACATAAATTCTTGAATTAATAACACAGTTCTTTGATTTTGCTTGTTTACGAGTGGTGTTACATTTGAAAAATGATCCGTTACTTTGCACCGGCATTTTATGTAAACCTCTACTTTAATTTTGCGTGAAATACTAGTACTCACATTTTTAAGCATCTGCGTATGCTCATACCCCTGTTTCCTATATTTCCGTTTACTCTCTTTTGAGGGTTCGACCAGATTGACAATAATCTCGTTATAATGAATTAGTTTCCCTTCATATAACGAGTTAGTTATCCCGTCATAACGCGATAACTTTTTTTTTTTACAACTGAAGGTAATTGAATAGCAACATATGAATGAAAATGGAAGGAGTTTTTTGATGGATTTTGAATTTACTAATCATCAGTTATAGCAGTAGGATTTAATTATGATAAAGTCATCAGCTGTCTTGCTGTCAATAATCATAATGTTTATAATATTGTGCTATACATTTCGTTATTTAAGGATATCTAACTTTATTTTAAATTCCAGTATGTACAGTGTACTTTAAGAGTGTGGGGTACCGATGCCAAGTTAATATGACCCCCTTATTACATGTTCCTCCCTTAATACACTACAATTTAAGCACAATAACACAGATTTTCCGATTTTTCGGTTATCTTAAATCAAAAACCGTTTATTGCGTCTTCTTGGCTACAGTTTCTCTGTCCTCGCTACGGTTAGTTAAAGGAACATAAGATTACAGCATCTGACGTATGATGATGTAAAGCAACGTTCACATCACATGTTAAACTTTTTTTTAATCTGAGAATTTTATCACCAGACGTTATGATTTAAAATCATCCGGCAGATATAAGAAGAAAAAAAAACAACAAGTGATTTATTTATCAAAATATATTTTTATTTTCCAATTAATCATTCTGAAGAGAAGCTTGAATCTGTGCAATAACATTGTCAATCTCTTCAGACACATAAGCATCGAATTCCTCCTCACGGAGACCGGTGTCCACGTCTGTACCCAAATCCTCTGGGTTTATGATGTACTTCTTTTTATTATCTATGTCTGAAAGAAAGTAAAAACAAATATGGTCAATAACATGGTTGAATGTTATTATAAAGAATATTTTAGAACAATAATTATACAATGAAAATTCTCGGTCGGAGGGGGGGGGGGGATAGTGCATCAAGATACGCTACTTACTTTTCTCCTCCATCATCCATTTTTGGATCTCCAGGAAGCCCATAATCACCCAGGACCACCCAGGAAACATTGCTGTGTGTGTGCTGAATTATAACCTATAAAAATTGGCCGTAAAATAAAAAGAAAATAGTGCGTCTTTCATTGCATTGAGATTTGTTCCAATCATATACACATTGTGTTAGGTTTCCGAATCTGAACAATTATTTACCCAATAAAAAGTACAATGTAATATATATACTCACCTTTTAACCTTTAAAAAGAATAAGCAGTGTTTGGTAGAACTAGGTCTCTGTGCTTTTGACAAAAATCAAGAGATTATTTTGCAATTAAATGCAAGATTTCCTCAAGAGAAATTGCCTCAAAATGTTGTGTGTAGATGTATAGACTACACGCAAAACATTATGACGTTATAAGTATTATGACGTCACAATGCCAATCTAAAATGAGAGAAATTATAAACCCGCCCCGGTCCATTCCGGAAGATTTTTTTTTTATCTATTCTGTGCATTTGTAAATATTTACATTCGTAAATGACCTAGTATATACATGTATAACACTATATGAGTAAAGGTATCCATTGCTGCACATATCTACTAATTAAGTATGTACAATGGAGTTTTCTTACATGGCAGATGTTTTGGATTTACCTCGGAAACCAGTCTTCAGTATCCTAAACCGAAGACTGCAGCATGTGTGATAAACATAGGGAATCTGCATAAATATTTTATATTACATCAAACTTGACTTCACTGCCATATTTCGTGTGTACAGTGACGTTGAGCGCGATGTTGATATCATTCTGCAAATTCAGTACTAGACCTATTCACACATCGGTAATTTCAAAATAATGCTCGCAATATGGGTGATTTTTATATGAATTGATAGCTTTTGAATAGATTTACATAATTCTAGTCAAAATAAATTCAAAGAGATTTTAATATTTTACAGCGCAAATTAACTATCGATATTTTACGCATGTCACGCGTTACATTCTTAAGCAGGGAATTGTAAACCTATAGGGTTTGAGACAATGATTTTAATCAAAAAACAAGTTTGGCTTTCCAGAAAGCCTGAAATGTCATTTCTTTGGCTTCATGAATGTCACAGAATAAACAGTGGAATGTTATATCATTTTCTCAGCTATTACAGGCAGTAGTATCGCTTCTGAAAAAAGGGGGGCAGAAAAAAAATCGACGACTTATCTGAACAATTTTAACAAGGGGAAAAAAGGGCTGTCCAAACTCAACATTTTCATTTCTCGGAAGGGGGGATTACAACTTTTCCAACAAACATATTTCATATCATAATACATTCCCATGGGATGATTTGACGTACGATACTGCAACAAAAGATGGAAGATGGGGCAAGGGCGCGCCTTTCAATGAATATTTTCAATGTTTGGGAAAAAAGTGGAAGGGGCCGACCCTCCTGATTCTAAGTGCCTGTATTATTTTACCTGTTGTAAATATGCTTTATTCATTTTAAATATTGTTTGTTCAATGTCTGTAAAAATCTAACCACTGAGAAATATTCGTAAAAATTAGATAACAATTTTTCCGTATGAAGATGGATATAAAACCTTAGCTTTCCCTTTGACTTTAGCTCTTAGTCGCCTTGTACAGCAAATAAGTATTAAAGCGCAGACTTAATGTAATCCAAACCTCAATTAATTTCCAAAGATTTTCTTTATTTTCCTTAATCGTATCTTCTGAAAGGACTTAATGGCCATCGAGCCACTGGGAATATCGAGGGAAAAACTGAGACTCTCCTGCCTCGTACCCTTCTGCTGCCCGTGCCGATTGATGTTTTGACGCTATATTATGTATAATACATTGTACTAGAGGTACTGTGAGCACTGAGCTCACTAAATGATACCCCAGCCTCCCCATATGATTATAATGGCAAAGTCCATTTTTTGCCCTGAGAGACCCGAAATAAGTGTCAGATCAAAAAAGTAAAATAGGAGGTGCACAATGGCACTATGTAACAAAGATTCTGTGAAAGTCTCATTAAATTTCATTCAGTGGTATAAGAGGAGTTGCGGATAAGAGATGGGTACCCCAAAGCGTAACAGACGGACGGACGGACACCCCGATCACTATATACCCTCCCAGCTACTTTTCAAGCGGGGGGTATAATAAGTACATGTACATGTATACGCTCCTGGGAAAATAGCATGCATAGAAAGGTTATAAAATTGAAAAGTTACCATCTAAAATTAAGCATTTGCACAATGAAACTTTTAGAACCCCAATTTTCATAGGCTGTTCCATGAGACACACATTTGATAATTTTGGCTTTATTTCAAGAGTACGAGGAGTGATTTTTTTTTTACTCTTTCCTATTAGCAAAAAACGCAAATTAGAATTGCATGCATAAAGATAAAGATAAGTTGCTTTATTTATTAATCCTTAAAAAATCTGAGCCAAGTAAAGAAAATAGTGTTTTTCCTAAAACTTTTCTGCGGAGATTAATTTAAATAATAATAAAAAAGAAAAGTGCAGACATCAAAAAAAAAAAAAATACTCGTAATGATTCTTTAATTCTGATCTTTATTCCAATGCCTGCAGCACTGAGTTACTTAAATCAGAGACATTTATGTTTCTGCTTAAGATGTGATTTTAGGTATAAAAATTTCTTTTTCGAATTTTATTTTTTTTTTTATTATTATTATTATTTTTTTTTTTTTTGAATTAGTTCTGTTTTATTTTACATACAATGTATATACGAAAGTAATTATCGATTGACTATTCACTGTTTTCTTTCGTCAGTAAATCTTGGATCCACGCCTTGGCTGATATGTTTTGTGTATTTTGATCCCCGCGCGCTGACCATCGTTTTACGCAATAGCCTAGATACAATGTTTATGCGTATTTTGAAGACCACCACGCAAGTGATTCTACCTCTATTGCCCATAATGAACCCTGTATAGATTTACTTTAAGATGGGCCATTTTGTAATAATAAGACAGGACGCTCAATTTTGTTTACATCTATATTTAGAAATCGTGTCATCATTCAGGACATTTGCCAGACCACCAGCTTATCGATGGCAGCTTACACTAGGACTTCACTTCCGGATAACAAACTTAATGTGTCATCTCCCTCGGGAGATGAGAATAAACATACTAAACTATTTACAATGTACTTATGATAGAGCGCATTGTCCTATAATCCAATCGGGATATGAAAGAGTAAGACTTTTGCGTAATAATAAACAAACCTGGTAATCGGATTAAGGACAATGTAAGCTACCAGGATGTTTATCTATCTTGGGAAGTCGATACAGGAACAGTAACGGAACATTGCTAAAGTTATCTTAACATTATATTAACTTTTGCACAATACTAAGACGTTGGACTGAATTCGAAGCTTATTAAAGTTTGTGTTTCAATTACAATGTTATTTTGTACGACCTATCACTTTCTGTAATTAAACTTCTTGAAAAAGACTACTGGTCTCATTGGCTTACAGAATCGTGTATTTTTCTAGGGTAGGATGTTCAAATATTAATTTACAGTTCTCAATTTTTTCATAAAACAAGGGAAATCCATGTCTTTTGTGTCATCAAAATGTATTTGGATTTTTTTTTGGGGGGGGGGGGGCAAAAAGAATAAAGGACTATGTTTTACGAAAAAAGAGCAATTGAAAATGTGCACAGATATACAAAGTTAACATTATTTACTTAATTATAAAAAAGTTTAAATAAAAACAAATCATTTCAGCAAAATGTGTTTTTTTTCCAATGATTTGAAATATTTAAATCATCTTAATATCAAGCAGTGCGCTTTTAGAGAGGAATGGATTACAAATTCAACAAAAATGTCCAGAGTGTAAAATGACGCGTAAAAATAATTACCAGCTGTATTTCGAGGAGTTAAATTCAAAATATTTTTTATGCTGATTACAAAATTTCTTAAATTAAATAATTATGCTTAATGTGCTAATGCAAATGGTCAAAACGAATATTAAATAAATAATTTTACTCTCAATTAATGAATATTTTAGAGAATTAGAGAACATAAAGGAGCTTGGTTCAACATATTTGTCCGGTAGACGTTCTTGTAAAAATATGACGCATAATTTGTTTTGCTTCATTATAATGCACAAAAATGCATTTAAGAGTAATTAACAAAATTTATTACATGCAAAACTAGCTCACTCTTTTTGTTCATTGTTAATAAAGTTTTCAAGTTTTTTAAGCATATTTCAAGAACAAATGGATACATACATGTACAAAATAGTAGCATTCATAGAAGCGTTACGTCAATACTTTCGTAGCGCTATTAATGCTAAGCAATCTAATTAAAATTAGATCCTTTACGCTCCCGTATTTTGTTATGTCGCTGTAAGGTAAAAATCTTCTGTGTACAGGTACATTTATAACATCCATAATTGTTTATTTGTTTGGTTTGCGTCCCATCGAGAATTTTTTTCAATCACACAGGGACGTCACCAAAAGCCTGTTTCCCTGACCTTCCAAAATATTAATGCTCCGGCAAAAGTAGGTCTACTTTTGCCGGAGCATTATGGGTAGGCCAGGGAAACAGGCTACGTCACCAATTGCCGATGGACAGCTGCAAATTTAGACTTACATGTATATTTGACATTTATGGTCACTGAGCAGAGAGGGGACACCTTTTGCAACACGGGACCGTTGGAATGGATCCGAGTACCGGTCTCCATGTCCCGCGTTGGAATTCGAACACACTGCGTTAGGATCAACTCCTCTAAAACAAAACACTTCATAATCACTGAGCCACACGAACGACCTTTGAAATTGGCTAAATAGAATGAACGAAATGCGTGCTGGGGTCATTTTCCAATACTTAATTACAAGACATAGTTGCTATGAGTCGTGTGTAAAAATCTCCTGTAAAAGCCATATCACTTAAATGGCTTTTCACGCTGCCTTAAATTATTGTTAGCTCGCATAAAGACGCTAACCAACATGATTGTAGATTGTTTAAATATATATGTAAAAGGAAAGAAAACTAGAGAGACGGCAGAGACAGGGAGGCAGGGAGAATTATTTAATGATATAATTAGCTTAAGTTATGAATATATACTTCTTTATTATTATAGCAGAAATGTTTTGTACGTATTTTTATGTCCTCGAACGATTTTATGGTCCTTTCAACTTACAACTACAACTATATACACGTTCATGTACATGTATATACCTTCAGAAATTCATAAAAGCTTGGGGGCCATAAACTATATCCCCTTCCAAATTTTGAAAATATTTAACTTTATTACATGTATGTCCCTTTTACTTGTTAAAGTTCTATGTAGGATTTTGATATTTCTTAGTTTGCATAAAAACATCTTCTTCTTTTTTTAATAATTGTGTTTTTCACATTTA